GGTTCTTCGCTTGCATTGGACTCAAAGCGCACAGCATGTCAATCTTTTTAACACTATAGATTCCAATTTGAAATCTGGATTTATCTTGTGAATCATATTTGGACACTTAACACTACTAGGAAAGTTCTAGGATGTCACAGCACACCCATTAGTAATCACTGGTCCATACTGAGGTCCTGCTTGTTTTAATAGCAATATATGCATTCTCTGGAGTTAGTGTAGTTTAAACTGAAATCAAATTCCCCATTTTGCTGGGCTCTGTACATCCACCTAGAGTAGTTCTGTGCTGCAGACTACAGGGTAGTGTAAAGACTTCTGTGCTGGCTTTCATGAGCTATATCTCCGATAATGATAAAAGAGGGTCACGGGGGCAGCACAGAGCTTGGTGCAAGCGAGTTTGCTCTGCTTCTCGGTGTGGTATTTAGCCTGCGATTAACTCCATGCTGCTGTAGCTCAGTCATTTTTGGTAGCCCTGGCACCTCCACATTGCACAGCATCTCTACTAGAGCATAGACCTTGCCATTTTCCCCTTTTTATAACAGAATGCAAACTGAGTTTCTAAAAGAATGAGGGCTGAATTGTGATTCCCCCCCCCTCCAATTCATATAGCAATCACTCTGAGTTGTCTCACCTGTGGAAGTAAAGTGCTGTCAACAGTGCCTTGTCTCCAGTTACATAGGAGGTTTATTGCAAAAACCAGCAAACAAACTCCGGAGTCCTAGCCTAGTACCCTTTCTGCAGATCAGCCTTGCTTTCTGCTCCTCTGCCAGTTTAGGTCTTTATGCAGTCCTTTCTACCCTAGTGCTTCGCAATCACCCATGGACTTGACGCTCACAACCTTACTGTGATATGTCCCCTTTTCCAGATGGGAATGGAGGCAATGAGAACAGATTAAGACACTAGCCTAAAGGTTACGTGGGGAATGTGTGACGGGACTAATAAATGTTAGGTCTTCCTAATTCCATTTTAATGCCCTGTAAAGTAGGCCAGTGTCTGTCCAGCTGGGGGCCTCCAGGCCCTGATGGGATGTCCGCTTCCTCTGTGGGGCAGAGGAGGGCATGGAGATCCACCTGTCACTGGTACAGCCATGCCATGGCCGGGGAGGGTAGGGGTCTGCGTGCTGCCTGCGCCGCTCCTGTGATGGGCCATGTGTTGCCAGCACAACTGTATGATGGTGGAGAGGAGTTCTCTTTCCCCCCCCACCCCCCCCGGCGTGCAGCCCCCATCTCCGTGCCAGTTGAACAGCTCTGCATTAGACTTCTTCCTGTCTGCCTGCAGGTGCCTTTTTGCCAATGCAGAATTGACTTGACAAGTTTGCCATACAGTTTCCGGCAGCTCAGTCTTGCAGCAATGAGCCAGAGTGTAGACCAGACTGGGACCTGGCACTGGCTTTACCAACCTTTTAATTAAACTGGCAGAGAAGCAAGTCTAATCAAAGTTCGGGTCCTGCCTGGTGGTCATTTTCTCCTCTTACAACAGGGCTGGCAGTATTAAGAAGAACACTCTTACGGGTGGATGAACTGTGGAGTTTCCAGCTCTTTTCAAAGGCAAAGCATTTATCTGACCCTCAAGTCAGCGGCATGAGAGATCCCAATCTTTTCTAGGCTATGTGGATGTCGGAAGTGGAAATTTCCCTCCATCTGTGGTGCCGAGAAAGATTGTAGCACATTTCTGAGCTGTGATTTTTTTTTTTTTCCAGTTGCTCAAATATAGTAGCAATGTGATATAAAACTCTCCCATGAGCTCTCAGAAGATGGGGACCTTGTATTCACACACGTATATCTTCCCCTCTGTGCGTTACCTGTTGCACTGTAGATAATAAATGACCAGGGAGCATCTTATGTGCATCTCAAAAATGTAGGGAATAACAAATGCAGAAACAGGTTTGGGAGCACA